ATCCTGGCCCATATATACAATCCCAGATGTGTGTGGGAAGGCAAAGGATCACCAGTTTGATGTCAACTTGAGCTACATAGCAAGACTGTGACACACACACAACATATACAAAATAAAAATTTTAATCAGGGTAGAAACTTGATCTAATTCAGCTGCTGCAACGATAATTGGTTGAAGGGAAAAGAATGGAGTTGTTACTGTAACAGGATGAGAGATGACAGTGGCCCACAGATATTGACTATAGTGAACATAGAGAGAAGTGTATTTGTTAACCCAAATTAAAACTTTGGACTTTGAATCTCTTTACCTCTGCTAACCACATGCAATCAGCCATGAAATCTTACAAATTCCAACCTTTAGTTTCTCACCCATGACTCCCTGTTCCTCAGTTCCTGTTGACCAAACCCAGGCCTTGTTATCTGTCACCTGCATGATTGCAGCCACCCTATTACTGAACTGATTCCAGCGTTCAGTCTTGATTTGTTCCAGTACAACCCACACACTGGTGTCACAGAAACTCAAAAGTACAGTTCTGGCCATGTTCCTGTTCTGCTCAGAACCCCAGAAATTTGGGAGTCAAGGCCTGTCATGGCTCAGGCCAATTCTATCCAGTTAAACAGTAATACTTGCCTAACACTTTTCCCATATCTACTCCTTTTGTATGTTATTTCCTCACTATAATACATCATTTCTTTGGATACTAGTCCCCATCTTACAGATGCAGGAACTGAAACTTGTAGTGGCTAAATAATGTTGAAATCAGTCTTTGAACTAGTATATAACCAGGTTAAGTTTTTAAATTTTAAATGTTTACAAGATTGTATGACTATAATATTACAAAACTGGTTACAGCTGAGCATGGTGGCACTTGCCTGAAATCCCAGCACTTGGGAGGCTGAGGCAGGAGGATTATGAATTAGAGGCCAACTGGGCTACATAGCAAGACCCTGTCTCAAAAAAACCCATTAAATAGCTGGCCACAGGTGGCTCACATCTGTAATCCTAGCTATTCAAGAGGCAGAGATCAAGAGGATCTTGGTTTGAGGCCAGCCCTGGCACCCTGGCAAAATGAAAGCAAGACCCTAACTCAAAAATACCCAACACAAGCCAGGTGCTGGTGGCTCAAGCCTGTAATCCTAGCTACTCAATAGGCAGAGATTGGGAAGGATCTTGGTTTGAAGCCAGCCTGGGCAAATAGTTCAAGAGACCCTATCTCGAAAAACCCTTCACAAAAATAGCGCTGGTGGAGTGGCTCAAATGAAGGCCCTGAGTTCAAGCCCCAGTACCGGGGGGTGGGGGGGTGGGGGGGGGTGGAACCACAGCTGGCTGGCGTGAGTGACTCAAATGCAAATGCTAGAGCACCTGCCTAGCAAGCATGAGGTCCTATGTTCAAACCCCAGTACTGCCAAAACAAACAAACAAACAAAAAACCCAACACAAAAAAGGACTGCTGGAGTAGCTGGAGTGGTAGAGTGCCTGCCTAGCAAGCATGAGGCCCTGAGTTCAGACCCCAGCACTGCAAATAAATAAATAAATAAATAAGTACTGGTTATCTCTGTGAGGTTTGGCTGAGGCTGATTTTTATGCCTATTTAATAGAAATAATATATGATGTTAGCTTTTTTGTTGTTTTGGGGGGTTTTTTGTTGTTGTTCTGGGTGGTACTGGAATTTGAACTCTGGGCCTCATGCTTGCTAGGCAGGTGCTCTACTGTTTGAGCCATTCTACCAGCCCCTTATGTTAACTGTTTACAGTTATTGTTTATTACTTTTATAGCAGCAGCAACAATCATCAAAGAGATTGGGGAATTTGGCCTTAAAAGGAAAGAAAGTCTGACATATGTTACAATATAAATGACTCAAGGATTTTTGTGCTTAAGTGAAATAAGCCAATCACAAGAAAACACTAGATGATTCCACTTCCATGAGGTATTTAAAGCAGTCAAAATTCTAGAAACTGAAAGCAGAATGGGGTTGCAAGAGGTTTGAGGAAGGAGGAAATGGATTTCAGTTTTACAAGGTGAAGAGTTATGTAGCTAGATGGTAGTGATGATTATGCAACAGTATGAATTAGTTAATACCACTGAACTGCACACTTACAAATAATTACCATGGTAAATTTTAGGGCTGGGAATATAGCTGAAGCAGTAGAGTTGCTTCAGCATGGAAAAAAGCAGCATGGAAAAAAGCAAAAAAATAAAAAGGATGGCAAGTCTTATGTATTTTTTGCATCAACAAAAAACATTTAAAAAAAGGTAAGATTCGGGGGAAAATCCTTTAAGGCTACCCAGACACTAGCTTCTCCTGCTTCTTCACTTACTAACCCCAACACCATCCTATACTGTTATCCTTTCTCCTCCCATGCCTTGTATATATATTTTTTGGTGGAACTGAAGTTTGAACTCAGGGCCTCATGCTTGCTAGGCAGACACTTTGCCACTTAAGCCACTCTGCCAGCCGTGTGTGTGTGTGTGTGTGTGTGTGTGTGTGTGTGTGTGTAGTACTTTCTTTCTTTCTTTTGTGGCACTAGGGTTTGAACTCAGGGCGTCATGCTTGCTAAGCAGGTGCTCTTACTGTTTGAGCCACTCCATCAGACCTTTTTGTTTTTTTGTGATGGGTTACTTCGAGATAGGATCTCTCCAACTATGTGCCTGGGGCTGGCTTTGAACCATGATCCTCCTGATCTCTACCTCCTGAGTAGCTAGGATTACATGTGTGAGCCACCAGCAGCAACTGTGTTTGGTACTTTCCAGACAGGGTCTCCTGAACTATTTGCTTGGACTGGCCTTGAACTACGACCGGCCTTGAACTACGACCTTCCTGATCTCTGCCTCCTGAATAGCTAGGATATAGGCCCCATGCCTTATTTTATAGTTAGTTGTGACCTAATACATCACCATACTCTAAGGGAAGAGATTATGTCTTGCTTATTGTTACATTTCCCGTTCTGTTGCTGAGATCAGCAAGAATTATAATTTTGATTTTTAAAAAGCTACCAAAATGCTAGGGATATCAGGAAAGACAGGCTGTCCAGGACTATAACTGTTGAGCAGTCTTGAGGATCCCCATGCATTGCTTCTGGCCACTTAAAAGTATTTAGTAAACCACACTGAATTCAAGGCAATGGGAATGGAGAGGGAGTAGAGGAGAAACAATGAAGACTGGAATAGCCAATCTGTCCAACTCAGCCCAAAGAACTCTAAGGAACCCCTTCAACCTCTCCAGCACATAAGTGTACCCAAGAGTCCTTTAGGACTTGAATTTATTAAGCACCTATTATGTGCCAAGCACTGAAAAGGGGTTCAGGAAGGGTTCTGATAGCTGTGTTCATAACCTCAGGAAGTAGATAGAATGTCCATCTGGGGAAACTTCAAATAATCACATGTGTAATGGTACAATAATGAGCAAGATGACTGCATTTAGCCTTTTATTTATTTATTTTGGTGGTAGCTGGGGTTTGAACTCAGGGCCTAATACTTACTAGGCATGTGCTCTACCACTTGAGCCACTCCATCAGTCTTAACCTTTTTTTTTGGCAGCACTGGGGTTTGAATCAGGGCTTCCTGCTTGCTAAACTGGCACTCTTATCACCTGAGCAACACGTCCAGCCCCATTTAAACTTTTTTGGTTTTGTGTTTTTAAATGTTTTTTTGAGGTAGTAGCCTCAAAAAACTTGGCTCACCATGTAGCCAAGTTGGCCCTGAACTTGGAATCCTCCTGCCTTGGCCTCCCTGGGATTGCAGGCGCAAACCACCACCCCTGCTTTAAACAAGATGACTTCAACAATAAGGCAATGGTTTAGTTCCTGGGGAAACCTGTAGCAGAGGGGTTAACAAGTCTGGGAGAAAGGCCTTGATGAGAGAGGCTGAAGAGTGTGTGTAGAAGTTAACTGGGTAAAGAGGCTGGGACAGTCTGACATGAGTGAAGAGAAGGCCCAAGGAATGTGACACTCACTGGTCTAGAACAGCTATCCAGCAGAGCCAGTTACAGGCTTTGCTGGGAATCCACAAAATAAAGTCGGCTTCAATCCCCAAACACCTCCTCTTTTGTCCCTGTCACCTAGAATCCTAGGCCTGAGAGAAGTTTTGTTGCTGTGGTTTTTGTGGTGCTGGGGATTGAATCCAGGGATTTGCACATGCTAGGCAAGTGCTCTACCACTGAGCCACAACTACAACCCTGAAAGAAGTTTTGGAAGCACTGTCCATACTTCCATTGCAGGCGCCATGTATTTCCAAACACATTTAAGGAAGGTAACTCTAAGCCATTAGTAAAGAACACTGGAGTCAAGACTGTTTTGTTTAAAACTGAATAGTCAAGCTGATGGTTCATGCTTATAACACAATCCTAGTTACTCAGAAGGCAGAGATCAGGAGGATCAAGGTTCAATGCCAGGCCCAGCAAATAGGTTTTGAGACTCTATTTCAAAAATACCTAACACAATAGGGCTGGCGGAGTGGCTCAAATAGTGGAAAGCCTGCCTTGCAAGCGGTTAAGACCCTGAATTCAGGCAGAGATCAAGAGGATCACAGTTCAAGGCCAGCCTGGGCAAATAGTTCTGGAGACCCTATCTCAAAAAACCCTTCACAAAAATAGGCCTGGTGGAGTAGGTCAAGGTGAAGGCCATGAGTTCAAGCCCCAGTATCGGAAAAAAAAAAAAAAACCGAGCTGGGCACGGGCGGTACGCACCTTTAGTAATACCAGGGAGGCGGAGGCAGAGGGTCGTGTCGCGGTTTGGAGGCCAGTTTGGGGCATATGAGACCGCTTCGCCATTCCCATCCCATGTCGAAAACAAAAATTTGGGGATAAAAAAGGCAAGAAACGAATGCCAAGAGTAATTTTCTCAGGTGAGGAACGAATGTTCCCATCTCTTTTAGGCCCTTGGGCCCTTAAGGCTGGGGGGGAGGGGAGCGTGGAGGACTGGCGGGTGCGCTCCTCTGGGGGATTGGTGGCTGGACCACAAGGAGGCGGAACTGAGCGCACGCGGTGCTGCGGCCCGGCGGACCGTCGCTAGTGAGGCGCCCGCCGGCCCGGAAGGACCTGACGCGAGCTGGGTCCGCGGCAGCCATCGCGCTTTGCAGTTTGGTCTGGGGCTCACGCCAAGCAGGGAATTGCATTAGCTCCAGTCGCAGGTGAGTGGCAGTCCCTCCTTCAGGGAGGATGACGGACGTCAGCTGTGAGCCTCCGGGAAGGAGCACCGTGAGGGCGTAGGCTCAAGCCGGGCTCCTGCCGGTGGCCCTGGGAGAAAGGGGGCGTCTGGTTTTCGCCGCGGAATTTGGCAGCGCGAGGGAGGACAGGACCAGTCCTTGCCCCACGGGGCCACTTTGGTGACTGTCGGGACAGGACACTGCTGCTGAGAGCGCGGTTATTTCAGGAGAAGGCGAGATGACCGCAGACCAGCCTCTTTTCTCCCCGGGCCTCAGTTTTTTTCACCTGGTGAGGTGACAACTGGAGAGGCGGCGACGCCGCGCGTTGGTTTCAGCTTTCCCAGTTGGGTTGGAGGCAGACGTTTTACCATAGCCCAAGACCCCATGAAGTTGGGGGAATACAGGCTGTTGGGGAAATTAGTGACAGAGTGTTCAGGATTTTTCTGATAAGACAAAAAAATTGTTTTGAAACAGCTGAAACTGACTTCGTTAGTTGAAGGAACCAAATTCTTCAGGAGTTTTAAGGTGTTAGATATATTGGGCAAAATAAGGCGAAGAAATCCTTTTAACTTGAAAAAAAATCAAACCTAGTATTTATTTTGCATGTACTTACATCAAGCTCTGTGATGCAAAATATCTTACTCCAAAGAAGTCGTATGTTCAGTGTTAAAATATCAGCTAAGTTGCCCAGAAGCAAATGAAAGAAGGCAAAAGGAAAAGAACATTTATTGATTAGCAACTTGCGTTAAGACTCTGCGTGTGCACACAGTCTACTAAGAAAGGTAGTCGTATCATCTCAGCTTTATAGATGATGAATAAAGGATGATTTACAATTTGTCAGTTATTAGCCAGTGTCATATAGCAGAGCAAAGTGATCCATCATTGAACCTTTCAGTAGAAATGTATTTGTTGCCAGAATAGTTTGAACTTTAAAAATTTTTTTTTTGAACTTTAAAATTTTTAAGGCAGCTAGTCCTTACCTGAACTACCGGCCTAATAATCACTCATCAAAAAAAAAAAAAAAAAAAAACGCCAAAAACAAAACAAAAACAAAATTTTTTTTAAGATACCCAGGTTCTTGTGGTGCCCATAATTCCACCTACTTTGGAGGCTGAGGCGGAGGATACTTGACCCCAGGAATTTGAAGCCCAGACCCCCCACCCCCATCTTAAGGCAGATTTTTTTTTTTTTTTTTTTTTTTTGCAGTACCAGGGCTTGAACTCGGGGCCTGCACCTTGAGCCACTCCACAAGCCCTTTTTGTGTTGGGTATTTTCGAGATAGGGTCTTAAGAACTTTGTGCCTAGGCTGGAGTCAAACAGTGATCCTCCTGATTTCTGCCTCCTGAGTAGCTAGGATTACAGGTGTAAGGCACTGGTGCCTGGCTTTTTAATTTTAAGCTACTTCCTTGGCATTTTCTGAGTTTACAGAAGAGGAAATATTAAAGAAGCATTGTAATTATGAAGACTTGCTAGTTTTTAAGGTTCATTTGAACCTTCCTTTGTCTTGCTTTATTGTGCTGAAGTAGAAATTCAAGCAAGACTTGATGCAAAAGATTAATCTACCAGAAATGAAAATCACTGCTGCATCATTCCAAGTTTACAAACTAGAATTCTATAGGAATGACTCATCATTTCTCCACTCCTTTCTTTTAAGTATGCAGTTGACTGAAACTCATTTAAATTATTTCTCTGCAAAATATTACTAAGCAAATACTTTAAAGTCTCTTTTAATACTTTTTAATCTTTTTTAATCTCTTTCTTGAGTGAATAGTTTTTAGGACAACGTCAGTGTTGGCACACACCTGTTATCCCAGCACTCAGAGTGTTTTGAAGATTGAATCTGTCATCAAGTATGTTGATTTTCTTAGTTATCTGTTGGCAAGTTCAGGTTCAGTACTCAGTCTTACAAACAACCTTTTTGTTTGTTTTATGTTTTTTGAGACAGGGTCTTGCTGTGCCTGAGTTCAGGCTGGCCTCTAACTCAGTCCTTCTGCCTCAGCTTCCCAAGTTCTTGGTTTACAGGCAAGTGCCACCATGCCTGGCAAATAGGAAGTTGTTTTCATTGTTGAAAATTGAACACAGTAAATTGAACCCAAGGCCTTCTTTTCACACTCTTGAAAGAAAGCCATATTTAGCATGGTTACAATCTTTCAATTGAGTGTCACTTTGCTCTAAGGAAACGTGAGTACATATTTTTTGTTGCCCACATGAGTCAAAAATTATAGTTCACTTATAAATGCTGTACATCCAATTCTAAAATGTTTATTTGAGGATTTTTTTGGGGGGGAGGTGGATTAAGTATTATTTGTACTGTGGTTTCGAAACTTTAAAGACTGAAAATCTGACAGTTTTGGGGGAGAAAATTTGTAAAGCAGCATGTCTTGAAATATTCAGTATACAAAATAAGGTCAAGCATACTTTGACTTTTGTATTTCTAGACTATTTGAATTTAGGAGAACTCTTAAGTTACCTTACAGGTAGCTTACTGATTTTATAGAATTTTAATAATGACTTAATTAGGTAGAAAATTAGAGTTAATCTCATGAAATTTCTTTTCTCTAGATTTGAAGGAAGCTATTCTAATGCCTTTTTTGGTGACAATCAATGATAGTGTGTTAATATTTAATACAAAATCAGAAGGCCATTAAGACTTTTTTCATAATAAAAGTTATTAAACTGGGCATGATAGTACATGTCTGTAATCCCAGCACTTAGCAGGCTGAGGCAGGAGAATTAAGAGTTCAAGGCTCATACTTGTAATCTTATCTACTCAGGAGATAGAGATGGGGAGATAGAGATGGGGAGGCCAGCAGGGCAAAAAAGGCCAGGAGACTTCATTTCAACCAATAAAGGCTGGGCATGAGCATGTACCAGTGGCTCATGCCTGTAATCCTAGCTACTTGGGAGACTGAGATTGGGAGGATTGAGGAAAGAGGCCAGCCTGGGCAAATAGTTCATGAGACCCCATCTCCAAAATAACAGCAAAATGGATTAGCAGCATGGCTCAAGCATTAGAACATCTCCTTTGCAAACTCAAAGCCCTGAGTTCAAACCTCAGTCACACACACACCACGCACTAAAGATGGGTATGGTGACATGCACATGTCATCCCTGCTAGGTGGGAAACTTAAGTAGGAGGATCACATTCCAGGCCAGCCTGGGCATAAACGGGAGAACCGATCTCAAAAATAACCAGAGGCGTGACTCAAGTGATAGAGCACAAGGCCCTGAGTTCAAAACCCAATCAATACTGCCAAAGAAATTTAAAAAAAAAAAAATGATTTGGAGGCCAGCCTGGGCTACATAGTGTGATCCTGTTATTTTGCAAATTGGCATTTAAATTTTTATGCTTTCAATTTCGGTTAATTTAGCCTGAGTTAATTCCATCTTATATCTGTGTATTAGTCAAAGTATTTTCATGTATATTTAATCATTCTTACAACTCTGTGATGAAGATGGTATTCCTGTTATATGTAAGAAGCATTGGCCTCAGAAGTATTGGCTTTCCCAGAGTAAAACAATAGGGCGAGTCAGGCACTGGTGGCTCTCGTCTGTAATCCTAGCTACTCAGGAAGCAGAGGCAGAGATCAGGAGAATCATGGTTCGAAGCCAGCCTAGGCAAATAGTTTGAGAAACCCTATCTTTAAAAAACTTATCACAAAAAGACTGATGGAGTGGCTCAAGTGGTGGAGCACCTGCCTGGCAAGTGTGAGGCCTTGAGTTCAAACTCTAGTATCACCAAAAAAAAAAAAGAAAGGAAGAAACAATAGTATTTCACAACGTGAAGATCAAACCCAGGTCCTTATGCATGCTAGCAAGTGCTATACCACTGAACTATTCCCCTATCCCTCAAAAGGAGTGCATTTTGAATCCAGATATTTTTTTTTCCCCCAGGACAGATACTATATCCATTGCACTCTAGCTCAACCATGCTTTGCATCCTAAAGTTATTAATAAATTGATTGTACAATCCCAGTCTTGTCATATTTTGTCATACTTGCCTCTTCAGACTACCGTATTATATCTCTTATTTTCTCCCAATAGTATGATTTGTAGTATTTGTGTTTTGTCATCTTTTTTTTTTTTTTTCCGGTACTGGCGTTTGAACTCAGGCCTACACATGAGCCATTCTACCAGCCCTCCCCCCTTTCTTTTTTCCCTGATGGTTCTTTTTTTGAGATAAGGTCTCAAGAGCTATTTGCCGAGGCTGCTTTGAACCACGATCTTCCTGATCTCTGCCTCGCAGATAGCTAGGATCACAGACTTGAGCCACTGGTACCAGGCCTGTTTTGTCATCTCACATATGTTTTTAAAAGTTCATACTAAACTGGGGGTGTAGCTCAGTGATAATGTACTTGCCCACATAGCATGCATGAGGCTACAGGTTTGATCCCATGCACTTCAAAAAAAGAGAGAGAGAGCGAGAGAGAGAGAGAGAGAGAGAGAGAGAGAGAGAGTGTGAGTAAGGGCTGGTAGAGTGCCTGTCTAACAGGTATGAGGCCCTGAGTTCAAACTCCAGTACTGACAAAAAGGAAAAAGAAAAGTTCATGCCTAAATGATTCTGCTTAATTCCTCATATAAATGAGTTACAAATATAAAATGTTCATGTAAATTTTTTTAATTTACCTTCTATCTTTTATAATTGCTGTTTTGAGCTATACTTGGCATACTATAAAATTCGCGCTTTTAAAATTTAGTGTTTTCAGTATAGTCACAGTGTTGTGCAACCATTACTGATACTTAATTCCAGAATATTTTCATCACCTCAAAAAGAAACCCAGAACCCATTAACAGTTGTTCCCCATTTCTCCCTCCTCTAATGGGGCAACCACTGATCTGCTTAGTCTATGATTTGCCTGCTGTGGACATTTCTTACAAAGGGAGTTTTTCCAGGCTAGAGTTATAGCTCGATGATAGAGTGCTTACCTAATATGCATTAGGCCCTGAGTTTGAAGCCCAGCATTGCAAAAATAAATAATTATAAA